TGCAAATGTACTTACTGTTTAGTGTTTGGGAATCATTGTCCTGGGAAGAAGAAAAAGCTGCTGAAAATAACCTCTTGAGCTTTTCCACTCAGTGCTGTTTAGTGCTTTGTGATGATGACTGTAATAGGCAGTTTGAAGGTGCCAGAGCTGCCTGTTAAAGCTGCAAATAGCCCCAGGATACTGTGAGTAAATTATATAGGGAGTTGGGGACAGGAAAAAGACTTTCTTCTCTTTTCCTGCAGTTGTTTGCCTTCTACTGACTAGATGACCTCATTCTTTAGTCAAACCAGAGTGGCAGTTTAGCAATAGGCAGGAGATGAACCCTCCAGTCATCATTTTTCTGGACATTAGACCTGTCTCTTTGTGGCAGTTTCCTCCATTTATCTTTCAGAGATATGACACTGTAATTAGAATGAACTATGCCTCTGCCCTGCTCACCTGGAGTGTCATAGACCCATGATAGTAAAATCTCATAGTTTCCATCTTGGTGGTATCCAGCTGTGTTGGACAATTTCCAGCCCACATGACTCCCAGTCATATCTGGAATGCACCTGAGAATATACTAAGAAACCAAGAAGAGAAACTATCTCTCATTTTCAAATTTTACATTTACGTTCCTGAGATGATGTATTTAACCATAGATCTTCCCAGGATTAATCATGCAATCATCTAAAAGCTAGAATGATGCAGCCATATGTTGCCTGTCCTGTATACTTAGGCCAGTGGTGGTGAACCTATGGCACATGTGCCAGAGGCGGCACTCGTAGCCCTCTCTGAGGGCATGTGTGCCGTTGCCCCAGCCCCAACTGCCCCCATGGCCCCCTCCTCACCAGCAGCCCTCCTGGAGGAGAGTCGGCCCTGGGCATGGCCCGCACAGAACAGCACAGCCAAGCACATGGCAGCAGGAACAAGACTCCATCCTCACACCCCATTACGCATAGATGCTGCTGCGGGGCGCAGGTGGAGGGGATGGCTCCCATGACGCTGTTGGGCCGCCTGGGTGATCTGTTACAGTGGGCTGTGGAGGCGGTGGGTGGTCCTGCAGGCAGGTGGGGCAGGGGCATAGCGAGGGCAGGGGCAGAGTGGAGAGGGCAGTTTTTGGGCACTCGGTCTCTAAAAGGTTCGCCATCACTGAGCTAGGCTATTCTTTCTACAAAATATTCTTGCCTTTTCTTACTGCTGGTTTCATCATGACATCTCCAATAAATTTTCTTCATAGCACTTTGCCATATACTCGATTCAGAGCCAATTTATTGTATCAGTTGGAGAACCTGGCTTGTTTTTGTTGTCTTCATTCCTTTTTCTTATTTGCACAAAAATTGTTCCTTTCTTAGAATAATATTTTAGATCAGAGTCTTTTGTCCCGGACCAGCATGGACACTGAAATTTGTGAAGACCTTAAACTTACGTATTTTCTTAAAGCAAAGCCATAGCATTTAGGCTTATATACCACCCCATAGTATTTTACAGCACTCTAGGTGGTTTACAATGTAGAAACATTATTTTGCATTTTGCCCCCAACAATCTGGGTTCTCATTTTACTGACCTTAGAAGGATGGAAGGCTGACTCAATCTTGATCAAATTCCAGACTGTGGCAGAGTTTGCCTGCAATACTGCACTTTAACCAGGGCTCATTCCTATATGACTTCACTTCACTCATATAATATAGTCCTCTAGAAAACTTACGTTGAGGGAGAAGCAACGTTCATGCTTCTCCTTTACTGGAAGATGTTACCTGCAGAAGTCCCTCTCAGTTACAAGCTGTTTCTCCAGTAATAATGTATTCTATCTTCATAATTGCACACAGATTTCATTGATGTAATGTAAAACCTATCTTCATTATTGTTATTTTGGTACAGAGATGCTATGGATGATATAATCACTAGAGTGGCCAAACCAAACATGCAAACAGTGCCAAACCTTTAAGACATATACATAGAAATGATTTCTAACCAACAAACTGGAATTGGCCCATCCCACTTTCTCCATCAGAAAAGACCTACTTCGGATCCCATCTGCCAAAGAAGTTTAGCTGGCAGGGTTCAGGAGAAGAGCCTTCTGCTGTGGTCTCCACCCTTTGGAACATTCGCCCACTAAAGATGAGGTTGGCTCCCACATTCCTGGTCTTCCAAAAGAGCTTTAAAATCTGGCTCTGTTGGCTGGCTTGGGGCCCCATGGGGGCAATCTATGCCGGGACTGGCAGATGGGGTAGAGAGAAGATCACCACCCTTATGTTCTCCGTTCTCTTGGTTTTTAGTTTCTTATTTAATCTTTTCACTTTAACCATTTCATATTTTCTTTTTTTACCTTTTTATCATTTTGTAAGCCGTCCAAAGTCACTGCAACAGTGAGATCGGCCACATATATATTTAATAAATAAATACACCTATTCCTGAAGAATGTTCTGATTAATGGGCATTTCCTTCCCCTTAAAGCAAGGGCTGTTTGCTGCTAAAATCAGGCATATTTAATATTAAGTAGGTAGTAAATACAGGATAAGCATTACCTTTAAAATTATTGTCACACATAATACCCTCATCTGAGAATAAACCTAACTGACAACGTGACTTAACATTTTGCATAAGATTGGGCTGCCAAGGAATCAATGATCACATAGACTTGTGCTTTATTTAATGTGAATTTCTTGCTAGAGAAAAACTGAGGATAAAGGCCATATTTTACAAGAAAATCTTGTATAATAACCTCTTATTAATGTAGCTCAGCTCACTTTTCTCATCTAAAATTAAAAAAGGAAAACCTTTTTTTCTGATAACTCTGCTGCCCCTTAGTGGTTCTGAATTTCCAGACCCTGAATTTTTGAATATATGCTATTGAATATGTACTATTGAAACCTTCCTTCTTTACATTAATATGCTGAATAATGTTTTCTGGACCTTATGGTTTTTGGTTCCATTATCCTCTAGGTCACCCCACAGGTGGCAGTTAGAGTGATAATTTGGTATGTAAAGTAAGAGCTTTTGTTAGTTTACTTTACCTAGGTATGTTTAGTCTAACACAGGGGTCTCCAACCTTTTTGTTTCGGCGACCTGGTGGGAGAGGGAGGGGCAGGAGCCTTATACGCACATGTGCAAACATGAATGTGGCCACACGTCTGTGCACACATACAGACAGGCTGCGAACATTCGCACCACACAAATGGGGCTGTGAGCATGCACGCGAGGCTCTCAGTGACGGCAGCGCCTGTGTGAGACTTGTGGCGCCGCCACCTCCAGGCTTGCAGCGATGCTACCACCAGCAAGAGGATCGTGCTGCGGCCGGCAGCAATGCCACCTCCGGCACAAGGCTCACACCGTGTCCCGCAGCAATGCTGCCCCTGGCACGAGGATCGCACCGCCACACCATGCAAGGATCACGCCGCAGGCCACCTGCCACTTGCAGTGCTGCCACCATCCGTGCAATACTAGTGGTGCTGCCCGCTGCCTGCACACTTGCTGCAAGGGTGGCACGAGGGGGGGGGTAAGCATGCGCACACGCACGTGCACTGCCCAGCTATACTCATGTGGCCTGGCAGCCAAGAGGCTGCAGCCCATAGGTTGGGGATCTCTGGTCTAACAAACAGAAGGACTAGGGTGACACGGAAGCAGTCTTCCAATATTTGAGGGGCTGTCACAGAGAAGAGGCGATCAACCTATTCTCTAAAGTACCTGAGAGCAGGATAAGAAGTAACAGATGGAAGATTATCAAAGAGATCCAACCTAGAATTAAAGAGAAATTTCCTGACAGAACAATTAATCAGTGGAACATTCTTGCCTCCAGAAGCTGTGGCTGCTCCATCACTGGAGGTTTTTAAGAAGATATTAGACAGCCATTTGTTTGGAATGGTATAGGATCTCCTGCTCAAACAGGGGATTGGACCAGAAGAACTCCAAGATCTCTCCCAACTCTGTTATTCTAAGTTCTAAGCTAACTGCTTAACTGGAAAAACTACTGTAGTTCCATTTTTTAAAGGGTTGTGGTGTTTATGGCTTTAAACCACATCCTCCGGAAGTACAGATCTGCTGCTGTTGCTGGGCCAGATGGACTGACCACAGGAAATGAAATCAAATAGTTGTATTTAGCATACACAAACCCAATGTAAGGCAAATGTTACCCTCCGCTCCAATTAATACAGATTTTCTGTTGAAAATGAGGTATCTAAATAAGGATAACTACACTGGAAATATCCTGTTACTACATATATTTGAAAAGTCCTTCTATTTTTAAGCTCACTTTGATACATTATTCATTTTAGCTAATACGCTTAATGACTTTGGATGTATTAATTGATTTCTTCCAGCCTAATTTGTACTCCAACTAATCCAGCAAACCTTTGAGTCAATGGAAGGTTTTCAGAAATCAAGAGTTCTGCTTTTAAGTTTAAAAAAAAATCCTTTTTGCTTGCTTATCCTGGGTCTATCCATTTACAGTATGATATGAGTCAGAGTTAATGTCTCAGTCTGGTTCTCTAGTTTTTTTCTGGTTTTATTCATTGTCTTTGTTGATTAATAATATACTGACTGATGACCATTAAATTACCGAAACTTGAGGGTGTTCCTGAAGATCAGAGGGAAAAAAATTGTGCTATATACTAAATACCCACAATAATTGGGAGGTGTCATCAAACTTTAGCACACAACTTCTCCATACTGTAATTATGACTGAAGCTAAGTGGCATACAGAGATATTGTGACTTTCACCAAAATAGGTGCCTACTATAATCCAATTGAACTGAAATATATAAGTTAATGCCATTGCTTTTGTATATTTCCCCATCTTGGCCAACTCAGGAACTGATACTGCAACTGAAAACCTGGGCATTCAGTTAGAAAGGTTTACTCACAAATTTCAATTGCCATCTTGCCTCATCTGCTTTATATAATCCATACCAGATTCTAAGATGCAAGTTTTCTGAGCTGAAAAAAAATATTAAAGCAAATAACTAATTTTTCAGTGTATTACACGAATGACCAGTATGCTGTCTTTGTTTCCTGCAATATAGCTGGAGATTTGTCATCTGCTGATCCCATGGTCCTGGAACAATATGTGGTGGTGGCTGATTATCAGAAGCAAGAGAGCTCTGAAATTAGTTTGTGTGCTGGCCAAGTTGTGGACATAATTGAGAAGAATGAATCTGGTAAGGGTTAATCATCTGTGATATATAGGAGTCCAGAAAAAACAGTTTGTAAAAAAGGATCTCTCGTGTCTCATAACTTCCTAACCTACTTTGTCTAAATGTGTTCTAATGAGAACTGGCCTGGATAATAAATTTTATGTTTGAAAGCAACTTAGTAAGATTTTATCACAGCCCCATTTCACAAAACCCTTTTCTGAATTTTCTTGGGAACACGCTGTCTAGAACCCAGCTTTCCATTTTGGAATTTCCATATTAGTTAAATATAAAGGGGATTTCATTCACAGAGTGCCTCCCTAGCTTTGTGTGCGTGTGTGTTAAATGATTTCTCTAGAATTATCATAATTAATTCAGCAACTTCATTCACCTGTGTCTGGAACAGGATATATTTTGTTTTTCAAAACAAATAAATAGTAACACTTGTTTTGCCTATTTAAGTAAATAAAAATGGGCTC